TCAATAATAAATTTGTTTTTGGGACCTCAATTGTGAAAAGTTTTTTCCACTGGAAAAAATGCACATGGAATCTCCCTTTACTTAGCTCCTGAGGCCAATGAAAGCTTGGGGCTTCTCTTGAGCTGAAGATCTGAGGCTGCAAAGCAAAAGGATTGCTGAGAACAATTACAAAGCACCTGAGAAAGGAAGCTGAATACAATCTATGAAAGGAAAATGAATACTACAATCAATTACAAAAGATCCCTCACCAGGAATCCAGATTTGTTTTGGTGATAGTTTATTATAGAGGTCTCCCTGTTTGTTTGAGGGGGGGGGGGGACCCCCTTTACTAATCAGGATCCAACATTAGTGATAACTGTTCGCCGACCGTGGCAGGTGATTGGTTCAGACCCAAACCCCCAGCTCTGCTGCTGCGTGCTGAAGTGCTCCCGTGCGCTCTCGTCTCCTCAGTCTTACCGGGGTAGAAGAAGTTCAATCCAGTATCCGTGCCCACGGACCAGTTGGCATGCTTTCCTGAGCCGTTGGAGGAGGCTTCCGAGAGATCGTCCGATGGGTGGAGGAATGCAAACGAATTGAACCAAGATTGTTCGACAGTGGATGAGCTGGGCACCACCGAAGTGCTCCAACAAGCAGCTTAACTTGGAATTCAAGGCATGCATATGATATCATAGTATCATGGCTGAGCAAGCTCTCCCAGCAACATTGCGTCATGAGCTGGGCTGTGCCCTTGCGTAATGCAGGAACCGTGGCCTGGAACCAGCTTCAGCATGAAGGTGGGACACTCTCAAGAGAGAAGAATGTGCAGAAACAGCTGCCCAAGAGTTGGATGTCCTATTAGGGAAAAGTGAGTCTCCTATAGTCCCTCCAGCTTGCGGATTCAACTCGCCGCCAGGACGGGACCGGGACTCCAGGATTGAACCCATCTCAGTTCGCCATAACCAGCGCTGTACGACTCTCAAACGTGAGAGTTGAATAGACTCAGAAGCGACTGATCCGGGTATCCAGCGGTCATGGGACCGGTACAAACGATTTGACTAAAATAGATGCTATACAAGGCTATACAGACCTACATGCAAATCTGATATGGAGCCAAACCAATGGCTCCAAAATTCTGCTTCCAGGAGGTCTTTGAGAGGTCTCCCTATTTTAAGACACACTCATATTATGGAGTGTGAAAGGTGGTTGGTTTGTCTGTTCCAAGCATTCCCCGGCCAACTTTTGCATCAGGGCACCGCTACCGTTGATCCCGGAAAAAGGCTTCTCGTGGAAGAGCACTTGCCTTGGAGAACTCGAGAGCTCACCACGGAAAGTCTGCTGCCACCCTCTCACTGGCAGGGTTGGGGAGAACTTCAACCTTTGCTCCTGATCTTTGAGCTCACACGCAGCACCCATCGAAAACAAGTATTCCAATTTATGCCTTAAATTTGATGATTTGCATCTACAATCTTCTTAACAGCTGGCTTATCCTTCCGCCAAGGCACTGCACCACTGCACTACTTGAATTTGCGTCCGTTGAACATGCTTTAAGTCCCTTAAAGGCCGGTACCCCATACCATTCCAAACTATGCCCAAAGAAGGTTGTAGAGGAAAATGGTTTTCCAAAGGTCCATTTGCATGTTCCATGTTAAATAGATCCTGGATGATCCCGGGCGTTAGCCATCCATAGACGACCACCCTTCGCCTCTCAATTGAAGCTCTTCTTCGTTGAAAGCCCCAAGCCGTGGTGAAACAAGACGTTCTTCCGCTCCTACAAGTACAGACCACCACATACAACCACGAAGGAAGGGAAGTGAGATGGAACATGATGAACATGAAGATGAAACATGATGAAACATAGCAAGCCAGTCTTCATAGCTTGCTATGGGAAACAGATTCCCCAGTTTCAGGGGGGGTGCGATAGGGGAGCAGTGAAGCGAGGTCCACAGTGACCGGGTCGCCAGTGGGCAACCGGGCCACTGGCTGGGACGAGGGTCACTTAAAGAGAAGCAGGCAAAGTAAACTGTTGAGGGTATGTAACCCAAGCTGCCTCTGGATCGGAACCCCTTTTTTGGAGACACTTTGAATGCGATATGGGTCACCAACCTTCCCCATTCTTCACCCAGCTCCTGTCGCCCGAGTCGCCCAAAACGACCAAAACGACCAAGTGGCACCGAAACCGACCGACTGAACCATCGGTGCGTCCAAAACGGCTCCAGGCTGCAAACCTAGCCTCTGCGCCTCTCGGTTCATCACCTGTTTTCGAGGCGCGCCGTTCACGGAGTGAACGTCTGGTTCTGCTGGGTGGTTCGAGCGGAGGGAATTGGGCAGGTGATTCTAGAGGTATACATGTAGGTCAACATGGGGAGATAGACCCCCCTATCTTGGGCATATCAGCAAATCCCAGAGTTCAGTGGGTCATGCTGGTTAGGTTGTGGGCCGACATCTCTAAAAGAGTGATCGTTTTCCGATCTTTTCAGGTCTACTGAGTCTACTGTAACTAATTTACTGGGACATGCCCTACCCCTAAGGGCCCTATGCACCAGACCTTTCTGGGGGTCTGGCTACCATGGATTACCACTGAAGTCACTGTACCTGACGGAGGTGACGTCACATCGGAAATGCCAGTGGCGAACGCATCCTCGAACATGACCGAGCCACTGACTGAGCTACCAACATGACAGGCAAACAGTGTAATGACAGTGCTAGACAAGCGCAAACCCTTGCGGGTTCGGTTGTTCCATGTTGGATTTGCAGTGGATCCGGTCAAAGGCATATATCCCAGAAGAGGGGAAGAACAGAGAGGACCAGTCACCACACTTCGGATCCCTCTCGTTTGGACCTCCCCACTAAACCCGTCCCTCGGGCGGTCGAGACCGCTTCGGACCCGCCCGTCGCCTCCATGAAGAGGACGTTGCTGTCGCAGGACACGTTGGCCACACGGAAGACGGGAGACATCTCATGCTGCCCGGGGGCCACCTGGAGAAAGCGCGGGGGTTGGGTCGGATCGAGGGTCCAAGCACCTTCTGCCAAGGTACTTGGAACCCCAGTGATTAATCATAGAACATCATAGACATCATAGAGTTGTTTGGTGGCTGACAGGTGAGGGACGTCACTGGGAAAATCTTGGCTTGTGACAAGCTGCCTTCCTGTAAATATCTATCTAATAATCTACTGGATTCTGTCTGTATAACAGTAGATTGTTTTTAATCCTTATATATAATATGTTAATATATAATATTAACTTATTTACTCTTTATTCAAATGGAATTCTGGTGATGCTCTTCAAGCCTCCCCAACAACGGGCTGCTTTACCCTCCAAACCTACATAGCAGTGCCAACCTCCTGAGAAGGTACTTGCATCCGTAGGGAACAGTTGGAATATGTTGGAATACTTGCGCCACTGACGATCGAAGCTGAGTGATCTCTTGTGATTCGTGCCTGGCGGGTGCGGCGAACACATCGGCCGAACGCCCGCCGCGTGAGTGTAGCAGTGTAGCAGTGTAGCCACATTCTGGGTCGTGCAAAGGGAGAAACCTCAACATCTTAATCTTCATGTCTCTTCTTACAAGAATACCATAAATTATGTCATGCTCGTGATCAAATGATTTTAAGTGCTCCATGTTGAACGCCACTGGTGTGCTGGCCTCGTTGTGCTTCACCGCCATTGGGCATCCGATCTTCAGCATCACTCCCTGCACTCGGTCCAGCAAAAGCCTCGGCCGCAGCGGTTTGAGACGATCACCGGTGAGTTGTCTTAAGTGAAATTTCCTCCAGAACCAATTTTTGTTGAACTCATCTCTTTCGTACCCGCTTATCAGTAGGAAGGGGTGTGCCGACTGCGAATGACTGTGTGTGTGATCGAGCTCCAAAACCGAGGTCCATCTCCAACTCAAAAGTCCATGAATGAGCATAAGTCTCCAAACTTGACGAAGCATTCTTGGTCCAAACTGGAAGCGCCACTCACTCCCTGAAAGGTCACACAGTCTGCGGCCACCATTTTGTGAGACCTTTGGGGGCCGATCTGGGCCTGGGTGGGCCCAACCTCAGCTGCAAGGGTTGTTAAAAACCTGACCATGTTGCAGTAATTCGCTAGATTTGGAGTGAAGGAATTGGTGGTGTTTCAAGACAAATAGAAAATATCAGAAAGTGGTTCAAATGTGATTACCCAAGGAAGAGTCTGACTCAGGCAAGGCTATGCCCATGCGAGCATGCGCGAGCCTTTGGAAAGCGGAAACGGAACAAAACTGAAGGCAAACTGGGATGAGCAGTTCGGGACATGTCTTTACTCAGCACTCGCGCAGACAACAGGACTGAGCACGTAGCGGTCATCTGCTCTTGGAAAAATGGACCAATCGTCTGCACCTTCTGCTGTCATTCCCCCCAACAGAAACGAATCGGTCATCCGCCTAGTCAAAGTGATTACACCCAACATGAACTCATGGATCTTACATCTTTGCTCGACACCCGTTTCTCCATGGAACTCCCGCACACCTGCGGCCCAAATCACCTGCACGTGCGGTACTAGTGCGACCAGCACCACCAGCACCATGGAGTTCGGGACCGGCACCAGGGACTTCGGGACCGGTGATGGGAGGGAAGTAGCCCATAAACCACCCGAACCACCTTCCAAAGCGCTCCCGAGTCACTGGACGGTGCCCGGCACCGGGGCGAAGTAGTTCAAGTCGCCCTGCTGGTGTCGCGTGGGCAGCTTGCCGAACAAGGTGCGGCCAGTGTTCACCAGGTCTGGCCTTGCCTGGCAGATGGGTGGAGGTGCAGGGTGGCCACCAGGGTTGCTGAGGTCGGCCAGTGGCAAGATTAGGCACCAAGATGGCACAAGTTGGAGGGACTTTGGGCAGAGACTTCGCTTCCTTGGCGCACTTGTGTCACGATATTTGGAGATCGTGCGCGGGCAAGCTATGTCGAGTTTTGGGGACCTTGTCACTACGACTGGTGGGAGAACCTCCGTCCGCAACAGGTGGTTTGGGAATGGGTCCATGCACCACATGCGATCATGCATCATGTAGATTGTAGACATCTGTAGATTTGTGAGGTCAGGTTAGGATAAGGGTGAGGAAAACCAGAAACCTCACTGACCTCACTCAGTGTCCAGGAGGAAGACTGTTGACTCATAGACCCCTAGCAGCATCGCTTTTCATCTCCAGTCGGGCAATTCCATGTCGCAACTGCGTGGGACTGGGATGGACTGTGTGGAAGGAAGCCAGGACCGATGCCACCGCACGGCGAAGCGGCGAACATCCGGCCGTGCCGGCGACTCTGGATGTAAGCGGATGGCATGGCCTGCTGGAGGACCCGTTGACTCTGACTCTTAAACAAGTGCTTGTCCACGGATGGTGATTTTCCTCTACAAAAAGGTGGTGGTCTTCCATGAGTATTTCAGTTGTTTCATGTTGTTTCCATGCTGTTCCTATGTCAGGTGGCGCCAGCATTGAAACATCAATGGTCGCTTCTAGGTGCTCTAATGTGCTCTATGCACCCCAAATCGGCCAGCTTGAGACATGTTGGGACTCAGCTGTTTCACATTCATGTTGCGCCCTGGAAGATTGAAAGCCACTAGGTTGTAGAGGACCATATTTTTCCAAAGGTTTTCAGGTTCCATGTTAGTTTTCCCGGGTGTACATGATCCGGACTGCCTTGTAGTGCTCCGCTTTGATCACGAAGAACTCTTGCTCCCAACCAAGGTAGCCTGGACTGGTCTTCAAATCCGGTCAAATCCCTCGCCTCGACGGCCCGAACTGGTCTTGGCCTTCGTCCGACAAAATCCGACCAACCAGAAATCAGTGCAATGTGTCGTCAAAGCCCAGGGCGTCCCGAGGGCGTTCCGAGGTCCAGAGGTCCCAGTCTCGATTCGAAACGAAAAAACCAAATCACTGGGACCCTCGGACTTCACACCGGTCCCCAAGCATTGTGGTCCAGACCCACTACCCCAAAGGAATCAATACTCACGGTGTGATTGGCTCTTGCCACTGAGATCGTGGTCGGCAATTCGATATATAATACATCCAAACGATTCACGACCACGTGGAGAGATAGCTGCAGTGTACCAGGACCCCAAGCACTACATCCACGACAACCCATCACAAATGAAGAAGATCTTGGGGCATGTCTCACCCCCCCCGGCGACAACTGATCCATCTGCCATCAGCCAAAATGGCCGCGAAAGCACAACTAACTGAAGCAAACCCGCACGTGCTTGTGAAACTGTTTTGTACTGTGCAGTGTTATCCATCCTTTCAGCCCCACGTGGATCCTTGATGGTCCGGGTGGACGACTTTTGAGAGCTCCTTTGAGCACGGGTCTTGGTGGACAATGAAGGGTGCTCATGAATGTTCCAAGTCAATTCGGAGACTTTGCATCTGTTCGCGTGCAAGACTGCGCAGCAGGAGAGGAAATCACGTGTGCTTTCTCTGGCCTCAAGAGAGTACATCAAGTCCAACCTTCTCACTGACCCTCCCCGCTGCCACATGTCAATTGAGCTACGACCAAAACCCCTAAATGGATGGTTGAGTGGGAAAAAAACAAAGCGTGCGGCACAGCGTGCTCCAGTTTTTCAGAGAACTTATACAAGAGATTGTCTCCCAGCTTTTGGCCGTAGCTCAAGGAGACCAAGTTCTATTTGATCAAACAAAATGGATCTCCAAACACTCAGACACCTTCTCGTCCAGAGGATAGACCACAGCCACGAGCCAGGCGGCTGTAAATGGTCTTGGCATCTTTGCCCAAGCCGGTGGCCTTGAGTAGCCTGGTGGCTGAAAAATTAGAAGGAGGAGAAGGCTGTCTGTAAAACGTTCACAACCCTCGCTCGGGCGGCTGGGGACATCTCCCTTTTTTGTGGCACGCAAAGGCCACAGGGAGGGCCTGACGGGTGGGGAAAAACACACTCTTTCCAGTGGTTTACGGCATGTGACGGCTGCCATGCTTGATGCGCTGGAAGATGCTGGAAGCGTCCCCAATCATTGAAGAGCTGGGAATCGATCACGACGATGTTTCGAAAAACCGCGCACGTGCCAAGAAAAGGCTCAGTCATGTAGTAGACGCTTTGATGAGACTTAAAACCCCCCAAGCCTGAAGAGGCTTTTCAATCCATGTCTGCGGGGGTTTTACTCATCAAGAGTCTACATGATGGAGAAGCTCCCAAAATTGCACCATTGTGCAACGGTCTCAATTTCATCCGCGAGACCAACCATTTGCCTGCCCCGCGCCCCTTTTGCGCGCGCCGTGTCCTGCCTCAAGCCCTCGCGCTTCACTGCGTCCATGGATCGCAACAAGGGCGTCTTCTCGTCAATGCCTGGGCGTCGTCCGGAGCGTCGTCGGGTGAATGACATGCAGTTGAAGTATCCTCAAATGAAGGTGTCCAAGGCTGAGCTGGCTGATGTGCTGGGTATATTCTTGTGACATCTTGTGACGCTCTTTTCGGTGCTCCGACGAGTTGGTGGCAGTGAGTGGTACTTGTCACTAGTGAACTGATAGGCGCACAACCATAAATTAAAGCAAAACACAGGAAAATCTAAGTCACTGGCCTCCTCCAGTCTCCAAAGCGAGTGCTGCAACAACCTAAATTATAGCAGGATCTATAGGGGGTGGTTCATCGACACCACTTAACCTCTAAGAGGCTATTCTTAGACATCCCTTACACCCCAAACTGGGGGCCCTGGTACATGGCCTGCAGGTGACATCCCCCCAGAATCGGGCATGTTTGATTCATAGCTCGACTTTTGTGCCACGGACTCCTTGACAAAGAGTTGCACCGTGCGCTGCATTTCATGAATTTGCCCTAGGCAATCACACTCGAAACTCATGCAGCACCAAGGCAGCCTGAGAACAACGGTTTTTCCAAAGTCTCTTTTGACCATATTTGGCCATGTTTGATGAGTTTTTGTTGGCATTGCTCGATGTTTTTATTTGAGATTGCTTCCACCTCGCCCGGCCGGTTAATGCTGCGTTTCTGCTGACGCAGCATGTGCCACGCCCTCAGTCAGCCAAGATGCACTTCCCAAAGTGGGTGACAAAGGCGCAAGGGATGTAGAGCGTCTTGTTCAGCACCTCTGGTGAACCACCCAATGTCGATCCCATAGATTCATAGAGACATCTTTGGCCCTTGTGGATCCCAATCAAAAGTTCCTTCGGGTAGTAAACAGTGGTGTGTTCAGGAGTGACACGTGGAAAGGCATACAAAAACAGAACGTTCTCGCAAAGGGGAGTCAACATAGCCAGCCTTAAGCAAGGGTTCTTGTTGTATATAGGGAAATAGATATCGGTACCGGGATAAATACATATGTTGCATCAACATGGGGATTTACCCATAGAGACATGAGATAAAAACATCACCTTAAGCAAATCCGGGATAATCAAAAGTCATCTGCAAGTCAATGGAGCCGCCCACCACTTGCAGAGCCACAGTTATTATTGTTCGTTCTTGGAGTTAGAGAGAGGCGCATGCTGATACACGCGATGCCTACAACCAATTTTTGACAATTCCGCATTCTCTATGTCACTGGAGCTCTTGGAACGCAAGGCGCCCCGAAGCTCTTCAACTTCCGTGTTGGCCACTGCTTACCTGATCTGGGTAAGCACAGCCAGGAAGCCTTTCTTGACACTGTCTGAGTTCGTACCACTTGGATAGTTCACAGTCAGTACATCATCATCACAAAAGCTTCGAGCCAAGCCCATGGGGATGTCGACCGTGGAGTGCATGCAACTCAAGACACATTTACAAACACAACATATCACAAAATTGTTTATAAACACAGGCATGGCTGTTGTAAAGTGCAAACACTGACTTTGATGACATGTGCCCAGTTGTTGCAAGATGCAGGCTTTGAAATGATCTGCAGACTTTGATGTGAGTTGCTAGAAGCAGATGCAGAGGAGAAGTAATGGCTGTATACAAGTAATGGCTGTATTTCACAACAACATGATATACATTGATATACACTTCCATGGGCTATATGTATGTGTTTTTAGTTATAGTTTCATTGGGGCCGAAACCGCCCTGGTCACCCATCTGCCATACACCTTCAGCTCTCCCCTAAGAACTCACCCCCTCCCCTCCAGCCCGGGCCACGAAGGGCGGCGAGGATCGGTCCCAGGTGGTGAAGGCGGCGGCGCTGTGCGTCACACGCAGGCCGCCGTTGGGGAAGCTGGAGCCGTCCGTCTCCCCTTGAAAGAGTCGGTCCGCTGGCAGGCAGGCCTGGCGGAAGCGGAAGGGGCTGGAAGGGGAAGGGTAGGAGAACGTATGTGGGGAAGGGGAAGGGCGAACGATGTGGGGTGATGTGGGACTTGGGGGACGTCCAGCTTATGGTGAAACTGATGGTGTGGTGTGGTCTTGTTTTGATGCACGTGTGAAGTGTTTTCCGTGATTGCGTGGATTCAACGATGCTTTATGGAAGGTTCATGGTGCTGTACTTCTTCTGGCTCAACATCCAAAAGGATTTTGCCCAACAAGGGTGAAGGGTGAGAATTGGGAGAGTGGTGGGTCACACTATGCGAATCATTTCGAATCTTTACACCTCAAGGCTGGACTTCAAGCCGGAACTGCTGGTCCGTTGGATATGTTGCATCATCGAAGCACATGGCCGAGCGGGTCCTCTTCCAATTTCCGGTCCTCTGAGGAATTCCCAGTTCTTTTGCCATGCAGAGCGCGATGGGGATGCGTAGCGCTGCGTGGCGGGACCATGAGTATCAAATGTTTGCATTGTACCTGGACCCCATTCGCGTTGGGCTACGTGATGCTACATGCCTCTAGTGCTGCAACCCACCATGGCATTGCATTCGCCGTCTAGGCGGTTGGTTCTAGGTCCTCCCGGCCACCGGCCACGCCAGACCTTCATGGGCTTGGTGGTGAACTTAGAGGAGAAGTCCAGGTCCAGCAGAGTATCCTGTGACGCTCCCACGTCCGTCCCATCCGGTCGTGGAGAGACCAAACATCTGCGACCAGGAAGGACACCCCTTTGTTACTCACAAAGATGATGATGATGAGGATGTCTTCAAACTGCCCAGTTGCTCAGTTGCTCTGGCCAAAAGAGCCAGCAGGTGTCCAAGTAAGTTAAATTCCGTATATATACCATTGTATATCTACAAAATGGTCTGCATCTACCTAGCCTGGCTGCTGCTTCAAGAGTCCTATATCATCTTGACTTTCCCCTCCCCTAGCGTGTTTGCTGGCTGACGCTTCCGCCTCTCACATGGAATGCGGGTTCTCTCTCCTGCTTGTAGGCGCCCAGCATGCCACCCACCGCGCCTGAAGCATTCGGAAGAGCTTGAAGAGCTTGTGTAAGCAACGAGGGGAACCGTCCTAGGCCCCCTTGTCAAACAAACCCCAAATAGAGTGTTCCTAACAACAAGCCTGCTCGCAAATCAGCTTCAGGCAAAAGTTGCCTTCCTCACTCGCACTCCTCAAGAACGTCCTGCGCATGCCCAAAAATCTAAGTTTGCTTCCGGGAAAATTCCTTAACGCTTGTCCAACGATGCGCAGCTGGGTATACCAAAAAATCAGTTTGTTTTTCACTGCTAGGCTATATATCCATAATATATCCTTTCAGGAGAGTCTCCAACATGCACTTCAAGCACGGGGGGGGGCTCCCACAGCTGCAGCTCTGGTTTTCTGGGTTTTCTTCCAGCGCCCGGTAAATCGCCCGGCCTCCACCGCCGCGCATGGGGAAGAACCAATGGGAGAAGTCGATGGCTCCACGCTCACGTGCCCAAGCAAAGAGGCAGTCTGCAATCGTCTTCATGTCCTTCAAGCTGGCTGACTGGGCGCACAAGGGAACCAGAGTTGCTTGGGCTCATGCAACCAAGAAAGTTTACATGAAATCTGATACAATTCAATCTTATCTATATGTATGTATACTGTATACTATAAATTATGATTATAAATCCACTAGGGCGCCTACGTGCACATGAGCATCAGATACTTTTGGTTCAATTCCCAAGTGGTGTGTGTTGGGGCTAGCAAAGCATGGTCTGGCGAATTGAGCCAGGAGTTCTGAGGCAGGTGTAAGCCAGCTCACTTTTTGGAATGTCACGGGGTAGCGGGCTAAGTCAGCTGTTCGTCTCCTGCGCTGAGGTGCTGACACCGGTTCCCCTCAAACAGGTACAAACCCCATGCCACCGTCTGCCCGGCCCTGTCCGGCCCTGTCCGCCAGTCCTCTTCGCTGCAGGGTGCCCCGGTGATGAGGCACTCCTTGAAGCGCCCACACACGGCGCCGGGGAGTTTCTCAGCCATCACCTGCACAAGCCGCAGTGCACGAGTGGGCCATCAGAGGTTCGATGTTACTGGCACCCCGAGATGTCTTGGACAAGTGGGGCCCCACTACTAATCCTGTCCACCTATTTAAAAAAACACGGCATTCCCCTTATTATAAAGAGAAACTCGGCTGCATTTTTAAAATGAGGGGTCCCTGAAATCGGGGGGGTCCAAAATAGGGTCACCTGGGAAGAGCTTCAAAACCAAAAAGTCATCCATTAAAATAAATATATAAATCCTTTATTAAGCGCGTACCAAAAATTCAACAAACCTCCAGATCGAGGGGTCTTCCTTTTCCCCTACAAAAACCTTTATTAGAATACTGATTCTTCATTAGACTAACAACCAAAGCTTTTGAAAGGTGACGTCGCTGTGCCATGCGGTTTTGCACGACCTCGATGGCAAGTGCGTTTGCGTGAATCCGTGCCATTGGAGGAAGGAAAACCTGCTGGTGCTAAGGCGGCGTGTCATGGTGGATACACAGGGCGGACAGATGTGGTAAGTTACTTGGTTGTTTTTGGAACCTAATACAAGAAACTACCACCAAAATCGACCATGTTGGTAGTTTAGTAGCGGCTTGAAAGGGCGGTAACTTAAACACAAATACTTGAGGCCGAGGGTAGGTGACGAAAGCTAGCAGGGGTGCAT